TTACTTAGAGGCGTTTTAAAAATAAAATTTTATTGATAGTTGCTTATTAAAAATTTTTAGTTTTTAAAAAAATTATCGCCGCCATTACTTTCGCCGGAGACTGTACAACAGCAAGAAACAATAGTGCCTTAATTAAAAAAGGTTTTTACGTTTAATCATTTGTCAGAAATGACACCACATTTGTTGACCATGGCTTATTAAATTCTTTTTAACTGACTTGCCACTAAGAATCACATTATTATTATTTCGAGACTTGACTTTTTTATTGTTCCGATTTCATTTGTTTCTCATACCCAATTGTCATTTACAATATTTATTTGAGCATTTTTGTTTCCATTTTATTATAAATCGAATTTTTGAATGTGATTTTAAGGCTTTACCCCCAAGTAATTAAAGACAACTTTTTTTCGAAAATTTTAATCATCTAATTAATTTATTTAGTTCCGGACCTCAGAACTTCCATCAACGTCCTATTGCTAACTGAAAATATTTTATTAAGCAAAAATTTTAAAAATTGCTGTAACGTGAATTTAATTATAATTCGTTGATACAAGCAAGATTCATTGAACTATATATATAACTTCACCCACTGAAAATTTTTGTCACCAGGGTTAAATGAAATTTATAAAGACACTAAATGAAGTTTGGAAAATTACTAATCTCTCATTTTTACATAATAATATTATTAAATAATTCGGATTTTCTATTAAAAAAAAGACAGCAGTTAGTTTTTTTTTTTAATAATCATAAAATATATGACAAAAATGACTAAACATTATGTTTAGCAACTGTCTCAACACGAACTTTCGAACGACAACATTAATAAATTCATGATCCAAAATCAGCAATTCTTCAACAATCATTTCAATGAACTCAAAATTTTGGCCGTGGAATTGTTTTTTACGATAATTCATCAATGATTGCGATAAATTTACATTTGGATAGTTAAACAGACATGCTAGTAAAAATGTAGTTTTTAAATTTTATATATTTAATTACATGAAATGTTGTTACATTAATAAAAAAAATAAAGTATATATATATATTAATATTATAACTACAATATATAATATCTGAAAGTGTTATTATTCGAAAGCGTTACGGATATTCGAAAGTGTTACGGATGTTCGAATAAGAATCGAAAATCGTTTCCATAAAATTACGAATATTCGAATATGGAGTTAGAGATACGAATAGAAACACTATCTTGGACTCTGTCGAAAGAAATGACTAAAAAAGTAATATATAGAGATATCAAATCTATGAGAATTCAAACGAAAACTTTAATATCAGAAAGTTGAGGTTTTATTTAAAAGAAGTTCTGGTCATTCCGATTGATAGAAAGAAAGAAATATTGTTAAAATCCACACCCAGAAGATGGAATTAAGATACAAGTATAAGTTAATTACTGTTAAAAACTAGCAGAGAGCTACTAAAAACCTTTCGTTAGTACCGTTAAAAAAAAATTAGAAATAGGTTAGGTTCCGACATATGATATTTCTTTATCAATAAAATAATCAGCTAGGCATAATAATAAATTACCATTAAGGCAATCACAACAATCATGACAACAATCACGAGAACAAGTTGAAAAATAATTTGACCAGATAGATATATGCAATAAGAGCACTTATAATAATAATAAGAATAGAAAATGATTATCATGTCAAAGTTATTTTCCATCAACAACGACAACATAATCACTCTCACCCTGCTTGCCAATTATATTCCTCGCATCACTAGAGTGTTTAAATACAGTATTAATACTGTTTTATTCAATACAGTTTCAAAAGGACCATTATATATTTCCGGACCTTTGAATTATGTGATTAGACGTGTATAAAAATTCAACTATTACAAAAAACTTCAAAATGTTAACAATTGAAGAAGATGGAATCCTTATAACCATCACATTCTCTTCATCCTCTTACAATTACAATGGTTGAAAATTATAGAGCCCGTAATAGTTAGTAACATTCGTTCATTTATTTATATGTACCGATGGATTCATTTAAAATTTTTAAATAACTTTGATAACTTTCAATCATACTAATGATACATTCAAGATCCTAGGCATGGAAACGTAATGGATGACAATCAAACAATAATGTTAATATACAATTAGATGTGTTTGTCTCCAAAAAAAAAAAACAATCAATTACGTTAATTACATAAAGAAAAGTTGCGCTGAAAAGTAAAATATTTTTTTACTTGAGCAGATACACATACAAAATGAACTCTGCTGGAGCATCGTTTACGTTTTCAATAAACCAACCATTCAGTGATTTAACCCATTTAAAGATTCTTTGTCACTGAAAACACAAAAGTGTTAGATATGTTCAGTAACTTTGAAAATCTGCAAGCAGCGGTTTGATTATTTCTTTATTTATTCATAAATTAGTAGGAAAAAAGAAAAAAAAAAAAAAAGAAAAGGAAGCTAGACTAAATATTAAATTAACGTAATAAATAATAAATACTATTAATATTAATAAAAATAAATTAATTTATACAACATCCATTAACTTGTGAAATTCTTCTATTCATTATTAAATCTATTTCTTCTAATTCATCATTTGAAATTTTTTGTTTGACTTCTTTTGGAAAATATAATTTCAAAAAATTCATTAAAGATTTATCAATATTGCCTATAAATTGTAATAAATAAATATATTCAATTAATAAATGAATGCGAGAGAGAGAAGAATATAGAATAAATCAATGTATTTTACCTGCATCAGCCTTACGTATTGCACCTTTTTCACGGCAAACAGGACAATCTTTCATTCCCTTAGCCTCGGATTTAATTAAACAACGTACACAAAACACATGGCCACAACATAATCTAATTGGTTTCCAGTAAACAACTTTACCCAAAGAAAATGAATGACAATGATATTAATTATTTAATTTTTAAATTGTTTAAAAAATATTGTTGAAACTTACATGTACAAATTATACAAGAATAATCTTCAGGTTGTGGTATAATGGTGATTAATTGATTTTGAATTAAGAAAAAGAGCGATTTTGAAATGTTTTTCATTGGATCAAAATCATCTTTGATAAATTCAAGGAAATTTGGACTTGCACTGATTCATCATATTAATAATATTAATATTTTCAAAAATTAAACAAAAATCTAAATATATTAATATTTCATTCATACTTACGTGAGACAAGTTTTTTTATCATGTTTTTTCAATATTTTTGACATTGCAATAGCATTAACATATTGAAATTTTTTCATTGAAATTAATTCAGCATTAAACTGCAAAAAAAAAAAAAAAAAAAAATTTTAATTAGAATATAATAATCATTAATTGATCTATTGATGCATCGATGATTTGAAAAAAAAATTTAATACTTTTAAAAATTCATCAAGTGCTTTTTTCGATGAAACCAATTTAAATCCATCATACTAAAAAAAGTTTTTATTGATATTAACAAATTAACGTCATCATTAATATTAAATATTATTATTAGTAATAATAATGATTGTTACCAAATTATTCATTATTTCATCTTTAAACGATTGAAAATTCTTTCTTGACAATTCATGACTCTTTTCGCTTCTATCGCTCTCTGTATTGCCGATAAAAATTTCAGCTTGTAAATATAATCGAAAGATTTGTCGCCAATTGTATAAATCTTTTTTATATGGAGAAGTCTTTTTTAAAAATTTTTGTTATTTTTGTGATTTAGTGTTTAATGACAAGTTCAACGATAATGAATGATAAATGATAATGAGAAATAATTACCGCATCTGTTAATATTTTTGATAATTGGTTAATTTTCAATTCAAAGTTTCCTTTGATTTGTTTTATTAAATCATTTAATTGTGATAATTCAATTAGCAAAGTAACAAAAAATTCTGCATCATTTTTAAGATCAATACGAATAGTTGATGTTTGATTATTATTAATGTTGTTATTGTCATTGTTAATTTTATTTTCCAAATGAAAAGTTGAATCAGAATCAATCGAATCGACTGAATCCGAAGATTTAGTTTTTAACAATAATTGATTAGATGAAATATTTGATGCATTTTCATCACAATCACAATTATAAAGTTCATTAATCTCAACGGCCGAGTCCAATTCAACTTTGAGATAGGGTTGAAAGTATTCAGGACTCACTAAGTATAATTAATAATAACAATGTTATTATTAGTATAAGAATAATTTTAATTGTTATTATGATTATAATTATAATTAAAATAAATTTACCATCAAATTTATATTCTATTTTATATTTTTCGAAATAATGACTAATGTTCTCATCAACTTTATGAATCCCAATTAGTTTTTTTAGCAGAACATTGGAATTCAGTTCGTCAAAAATATTTTTTATAAATTTTTTCAGGTATTTATATTGAATTATGACAGGTTTCCAATCTTTTGGAAAGTCTTGAATATTTTTTTCCAAAGAATACAACATACCTTTCTTCTTCAGAGTTCATGAAAAAACAATCTTGTGGAAGATTGTATTTGAATGTATTAGGTAGATCTTTGTCACGGGTTGGAATAAATTTCAATTTACTAAAAGCAGTCGAGTCTGAACTAGATGTGCATGAAAATAAAAATTCAAAAACCAGCTTAGCCTTTTCTTCATTTTCTGGAAGCTCTTTGATTAGTTTATCCGACAACTGCGAGTGATCTGGATTTTGCACTACACCCAATTCTTCAGCTCTACAACGTAAATCTTTGCGTAGTACATTAAATCCCATTATTGCACATTCAGGATTAAAAAAACATTTTGAGGGTTCTGAATAAACATTTGGATCCATGCACGGCAGAAATGGCACATTTATTGACCTTGCATCATAATCTTTAGCATATTTATCTCTAAAATTATCAAGAAAATATTCAAATGCTTTTTGACGAATAGGAGAATTCGATGCCAGTTTAAGAATTTCATCGAGTGGTGGATATTCACGTAGACCAAGTTTTAAGATAAATTTGCCTGTATTATGCAATTGATAATAATGATTATTATAAGGTTCAAGAATTTATTTCACACAAATGAGTTTAATTGCCATACCTTCTTTAGTATTTTTATAAAATCGGCCTTTCCATTTGATGATGGGTAATTCAAGTTCAATTAATTTGGGCAATGGTGCATATAATTCTTTTGCCGTAAATTTTTGGGTTTCGTTTCCAGATTCAATTGGCCATATTACCGAAGTTTCCAATTTTTCTATATCGTCACATCCAAGGTCAATTGAGGTCAAATATTTTATTAACTCCATATGATCCCAACTTCCTTTATTAAAAAGTTGATCAAACACAAGTTGCAACTCAACATGCTAAATTAAGAAAAGCAATTTTAATAATACATAAGAAAGCCATATAACAAAAGAATGTTAATGATTAATATTTCAAATTACTTTTTTCACGCCAATAAACAATAAAAACTCGTCGAGGTTTTTTGTTTTGTGTTGTTTTAAATTAACGTTCGGCAGATCAGGTAATAACTTGACATCTGGAAAGTAAGATTCTTTAGGTAATTTCATACCAGATACTGTTGGAATGCATCTCTTTTTAGCCATGATTTTTTTTATTGCTTTGAGGTCAGACTTTGACAAGTTTTTAAATTGATGCGAAATGATTCTCAAAATTTTTTCTGCAAAATCAGGATCATCTATTCCAGGTTTTGTAAAAATATACTGAGTCCACGTCAAGATGGTAAGCTCAGTCCAATTTCTAAGATATTATACAAAGTTAACATCCTGATATAATGTGATGGATATCATGAGCTAATGAAAACACTAACCCAAAATGAGCCTCCAAGTCTTCTTTTCGTAATGGTTTACTAATAGAGTAAGGTAAAACATCTGGTGGAACTTCAATAGTTGGTGGAATAACATGTGGGTTTAGGAAGTAGCGAATATGATTAAGAGGTGTAAGATCGTCTCCTATAGAAACGAGGCACATAAATTTACGAAATTGTTCATCGGTTATATCATTTTTGGAACGATACCCTATCCACCACTTGAACAAATCTGATAATTCTTTGTTATTAAATTGACGTCTTTTTAGTTCCTCGAACACATCATCCATTGAAATCTCACTAATGCATTTCAGAATATCTTTTGCTATTGTGAAAAATTCCGAACACTCGGTAAACAATGAGAATGGGACCATAGGAATTGTTTTGATAAATGAAACCACCTCTTTATTTGGAATCCGCACGGAATTAATTGGCAGAACACCATGAGTAGATAAAATTTGTAGCGATTTTTTTGTGCAGTCAAAAAATTGAGATTCAATGATCTTTGCAACCATATTATTAGGCGTGCTTGTTTTGAATGTAAAGTGTTGTAAAATGTGTACAGAACATTCCTGTAAATATTCAAAACCTTTTTTATCTTGTTTATCATCAGAGTTTAATAATTTTGGGTCAATATCCATACATAGCCTTGAAATTTGATTCATTTCATCATCATACACTATACGAGCCAAAATTCCGGCTGAACATAACATCTCCTTATTATACACTGATAAAGTCTTATGTACTAAATCTATTGATTCACGTTCAACCTATAAAACTCAGTGTTTTCAATATAAATCATGAAGAATAAAGAATAAAGAATATAAGCAATTGATAATTGAACATAATATTTTACTCACTGTGGGAATCACTCGAGCTGCCAAGTGCACAGAACAACCTGTGGTTTGATGGGTTGGAAATCCAATGAATATTCTACCTTGATCAGGAAATGGTGTTAGGTCTTTAAAAATATTTAATATTTCTTTATTAGAATTTCCTGGCAAATTGCGTTCATCGTGTCCAGTAAAAATCATTTGTATTGTTGTGTTATTTGGTGGTTTTTTTTTAGTAGCAAATTCCATCTCTTCACTAAAAGATTTAGACACATCTACACCCAGATTACCACATGCAATCTTCAGAGAAGTGGATTGTGATATTTGTGATTTTTCAGGACCAATTAATCCTCTAAAATGTAGTCGAACATTACATACATCAACAGATTTTAATCGGAACATATTCTTTGGCGAAAATTTGTTTAGTCCAATATCCATATTAATTGAAAGTGATTTATTGGTCTCTTTTGTCAGATGAATTACTTCTGTATCATTAAAATAAACAATGACTTTACGAAGATTTCTTGTAAAGCCCTAAAATAGTAAACGAGTAAATACTTGTGTTCAAAAACCTAGGTTTACAGACTTTGATAGGAGTACTTACCAATGATGTGGCTAAGAAACGTCCAAAATATCCTATATTAGGTAACTAAAATATAAAAGAAGTCCTCAATTTACTGGATAATGATAACGATGATAATGATAAGGTTAAAAATATAAAATAATTGGGTACATTTTCTTTTCTTCGTGTATCCATTAGAAAAGTTGTCCAAATCATGTCATCTTGTTTTATACCACCCATTTTGGAAAATAACTGATCATTGCGCCAATAAAAGGCCATACCTTGTGTACCTGACGAAATGCTAATAAAAGAAAAGGTACCACGCGGTCAAAAATTGGATTAATTGAACGGAATAACATCAAACTTTATAATAAACTTTAATTATTTACAATGGCTCTTCACAAATTGAAAACAACGAATAAAATCCGACTCCAAATGCTCCAATCTAAATCAACCACAATTAAATTCTCAACAATCCAAAAATGATCGCGCAAAAAAAAAACCTGATGCATTAATCAATTAGAACCAAACCTTTTCTACATCAGGATTTCCCTCTGCGATTTTTTTCAACCTGTTCCAATCTTCATCTCGAAACAGGAAACCATTATTCTTGAATATGATTCGTCTGCATTTTTTTGACTTGTCGGTTTCAAATGTTATTTGGACGGTTTTGGCCTGGGCATCGTCTGAATGATTTTGATAATTTTAGGTAAAAATAGTTAGGAACAAGTAGAAAATAGGCTCATTATTACCTGAATTCTGCATCAATTCCCTATATATCACGAACTCTGCCGAATATCTATCAATAAAATATGATTGAATTGATTAATGATGTAAATAAAATCAAAAGTCTGATTTGCAAACATTATGTACATACCTTGCCAAAACCTTATCGATCAAGTTCCTCTGATTAACCTCAACTTTTTGTTCGCCAGTCTCATTAAAGAGCACCGTTTTGCGAAGTTCATCTAATAAAAGACTCTTGAGTTAACAATTGTAGATTACATGATTGACACCAAGTATTATACCATTACCATAATTTTCTTTTCTTATATTATCTTTTTTTCTCTTGGGCACACTTTTTATAAATTTTTTCATTTTGAATAATAATTTATGAATTTAGAAGACAAAAAATTCCAACAAATAGATAGAAAATTTTCATTTAGAGAAACGAACCTAATTTTTCAATTATAAATGGGCAATTTGTGTGAAAAAAATTATTGAATTTACAATGATATTGACAATTTGATAAAAATCATTGAATTTACAATGATATTGACAATTTGATAAAAATCATTGAATTTACAATGATTTTTACAAGTTGATAAAATCATTGATACTAAAGTTTATTTTTAGAATTAGGTTGCGATTGATTGATTATAAACGGTCAAAACATTTGTCGATCCTTCGATAGGAAGCTTAATCTCTGGTGGTAACCCGCAAAGAAATTGTATTCCAAGTTGAAATCAGCATATTTTTAGTTTTAAATATAATTCTTGGCTCAAAACGGGTTCGGGAATGTACCAGGCCCATTGAGACCGAATATGCTTGAAATGATTCATAATGAATTCCAATGGATCGTCAATTGACTGGCATTATAGCAAACCTTGGTGGTCCAAAAAAAACAAAACTTTAGGTTGTAAACAATTCATGAAGAATGACAGTATCCAAATATCCAAACCAATTGGTCATATAAACAGCATACATAAACTTATTTGCGAAGCTATATATTATTTGTAACAAATGCCATAAAGATATTCTTTTTTTAGAATGTGATTAAATGATGGATTGCATGTAAAATTAAACTATTAATGTGGCCTGTTCGTGCAAAATCCCATACCTTAACCAGATATACAATGTTCAAACAGCTATCTGAAGCAAAAGATCAACTTTCTTGTCTTTCGATGGAGTAATTAACGCATACATATATCTAATAATTTCAATTAATTTTTTTATAACAATACAAATGAAACAGGAAATTCTCTATAAATCAATTCAAATATGATTATCAGAAATTTCATGGATTTTAAAATTTTTAAATGTTAAATTAGTGTCGACAATAAATTAGTTGTAGGATATTTTTCTTAATATACGAAATTTTGCAATGCACAAAAACATGTCGGCAGATATATGATTGATACCCTAGCATACCAAAGTCAAACAAATTAAGTTGCTAGAATGAAGACGGAATGTCCTTCGATAATTGGTACAAGAGACATAGCACAAATGATGATGATAATGAAAGAGAAGGGAGTAATTTCTTTCAAAGTGAATATTTTAACCACGGATTTGGACATGTTTTATCAATTGAGTTAATGTTACAATTCCATCTGCCTCAAAGAACATTTTTGTTGGCTTAGAAACCATGCCCATTTGCTTATTAAGTAAAATTTCATCTTCATATCAAATAGTATAATATACTTATGTTTCGCCATATATAAACAACAGGTTGTTGTTTTACGAACCTTGAAAAATAAAATGAATTTTTTAGAATTTTTAAAAAACCTTTGCAAGTTCTAACGACCTTTATAGCATAAGTAAAAAATGCGTCTTATGTTTACTTTTAAAATTTTAGAACATTTGATAAATTAATTGCCGAGAAAAAAAAAAAAACGTAAAAAAATTTACGAAATAATTCAACCTCAAACTGCTCATTATAAAAGACATGACAAAAAATACATGAAACTGTTTTGAATTAATTATACTTTATTAAAAAAAAAAAACAATATCTTGTCGGGTATCATTTACTTTTTAAAACAGCATCAACTTTTCGTGGCATACTATCTATTAATCTATTAATTCTCCCCGGGATTAAACCATTCCTCTTTTAATAAATTGGTTTTGTGTTTCTCATTTTAAGTCTTCTTTTTAAATCTTGCCAAAAATTTTCAATAGGATTGAGATCTGGACTTTGGGCAGACCTCATTATCTTCTTTCCATGTGTTTGCGGCAGCTGCATTATGACATACATGGTGCATTATCATCTTGAAAGATAAATACACCATCAACACTATTATGACAATTTTCTACATTTAATTCATTAATAAAAGATAATAAATTTGCCGCAAGAAGATTATTATAATTACTTGCATTTACCCTCAAACATCCAATTAAAAGTTTGCAAAAAAATTTTGATAAAATGGAAAATCAATTAAAATTTATTTACACTAATGCACCCATTTTTCTTGTAAACCCAAACCACAACTTCATCAGATTGTTTTACCGTTGGACTTAAAATATCCTTTTTTATATCTTTTTCCTGACATCCTCCAAACCCCTAATTTTTTCTTGCGTGTCACCAAAATAATCTTTTTTTCCTATATTTTTTTCTGCAATTAATGACTTCTTTACAGCTTTCCTACCATAAAGATTTTTAACATGTAAAGTTCGCCTGACAGTCTTTTTCACTTGATAATTGTTTGGGTCTGCCAGCCTTGGTGGCTGCTGTTGTTTTATTTTTTAAAAAAAATAATCATTAATGGTGCTCTTTTGGATATATTTAATATGTTGGCTATTTCCCTATAAGAAAAATTCGCCAATAATTCTTCAGATAATTCAATACCTCTGGCTATTTTGAGTCTTTGAAAAAAATATGGATAAAAAGAAAATAATAATAATAATAC